ACAAGGAACAATTTGTATATCTCAGAATTTCCAAAAAGTGCCTAGTTTTCGAGAAATTCGCAATTTAAGAATCCATTCTTACACCTGTATCGTTTCAAAAAAAGCGCGCGGAAATTTGAATCTTCAAACACGCACGGACGAAGTTCCTACGTATTTTCGAATTGTACGACAGAAAATTATGTTCGTGCATCATTATAGACTTATTCTATGAATTAATTTGCAACAACAGTACTGTCTATAACTTCTCCAATCAATTACCTTGTGAGGAAGCACAGGTTTCAAAGACCTGCTAAAATATCGAAACTCATTGCCTCTTTTATGCACCTGTACACGTTCTCCGTCGTATTTCACCTCCGACAACATGCCACTCGAGCATTTTTTCATCGCCATCTCCACAGATTTACAAGCTTCAGCCTACACAATTCAAAACATAATAATTTTTCTTATACCGATCAATGGTACATCGAAACCTTACCAGCATCGGTAAAACAGGTGTCATCAGTGACAGAGCGACTTTACCACCTCCAGAAGAACCAGAAGATACTTTTCCGAGTTTAGATCCAGAAGGAGCCTGCGAAAATCGTTCCACAACACTGTCCAGGTCTCTGGATACCTGGAAAGCTTCGTAGGCTTGCTCATGAATCGCTGATAAACTAAACATTTTCAAAAATGAAAAGAACTTGATTAGCTGACTAATGTAAAGTGTATAAATGAAGATAGGTGAATTACAATTGCTGGAGCGACTCACACGTGCTTCGGACCTGCGTTTATCCTCAGGTCGTGCTTTATCAGACGTATAATCATTTTCAGGTCGTTCGTTGTACACCTGAAGATCAACAACAAATTTCAGTGATGGATAACAAGCAAATTTGAATTAGAATTTTACCTGGAAATGATCGATTTGAAGTGATTGATCTGATCTTCCTCCCTGGTGAGAAAGGATAACCTCTCCAGGAACTGATCCACCTGAACAGACAGGAATATTTTAATAGAGACAACTGTTTGTAACCTATACAATCTATAACCTATAATATTTATAGTAATATTTAGTATATAGTTATGGTATATAGTTATGCATGTGTAGTTAGTATATAATTACACTACATAGTTATGCATGTAGTTAGTATACAGGGTGTCTCACAACTAGTCACGTCAATATAGCACAGAAATATACAAAAATAGTGCAGACTACTTCTGTGGTTTGACAATTTATGATAGGGAGGTACGGTCGTAAAAAGGCAGTTGACAATGGCCAACGACTCGAAGTCGAACCACATCATCTTTATACAGGATGTCTCACAACTAGCGTAGGTCCCTGAAATGGGGGTAGCTGACGTAATTGTGGCGCACAGGGGTGGAACATCAGATACGGTTCGACGAACGTTGTATATGTTACAGTAAAACGTATACAGGGTGCCTCACAACTAGTGTCCCTGAAATGAGGGGGAGCCGATTCCGAATAAGATTTCCCTTTGCAAAAATGGGGTTCGAAGCTTCGTTTTTGAATTATTAAGGAAAACACGGAGCAATCAGAGCGCGAGGATTACGCGCGCAGACGC